GTTTTTTTTACAATAACAGGCATGTTATTAGTATGGTAATACGGGGAAATAAAGGAAATGTAACTTTGCAACAAGTCAGACAAATAAATCACACAAAACAGAAGCTAAGAAATAATCGACGTTGATAGCAAATTAAAAATAATGTGATTGTATATATATTGCTGAAATTTCAACTGAACTGTCTTTATGGTTAAAATAATGTCAATACAAAAAAAAAACACCCAAATATTTAAGCAATATTACCTGGTTGAACAGTAAATTCAAACACAAAGATGGTCTCAACTCCTTGTGTCCTCATCCACCCAGCTAATGATAATTTACGTAACCATAGTAAGGAAGAAATTTGGAAAGAAATACAGGACACTTAAGAAACTACATGTATTGGGCAAACACAGCAGTCCAAAAGCATCTCTCAAAGTTTTCTACCGGTAGATTTTAACGTGATCAACACAAAAAAAGAAGCTGAAGACAAAAATGAAAAACAAGAAACTAAAAGAAGCGGCAATGGAACAAATTCCATTTAAAAGAAGGAAGCAGGGAACAAGACAATGGCATCTGACAAAGTATTTCCTCCCCCTTAAGAAATTATAAAATAGCTCAACAGTGACTACAAACAAGATGATATAGTTTCTACGCTACAGACTAGGAGCAAACCAAAGTACGCATATCGGAATAAGACTATGAAGAAGACACACCCCACACAAGACACATGATATCATATGTACGAAATCTTTAACCCGACAACATTTTCAAGTACACTCAGAGACAGTCATGGCCCCACCCACCTCACCTTTGGAACCAGCATCCAACTATTCTATCCACTCTTAATTTAGCAGTGTGAATGTATAAAAGCAAAAATTCTTTCAGAGGTCGATATTATTTTATTATTTCATATCACTATAAACCGCTTGAAGTGAGAAAAACCTAACATATAGGCCTAGAGCTGCAGTATTGGTTCAAGGTTCTGAAAGCGTCAAAGAGATCAAAATGCCACAAAAATCAAGTTTGTCAGATGAGGAATACAATAATGCATAGACTATGAGGTAAAAATCGGTCATTAACTTCAGTAAAAGACAAAAAATTACCAACAGGAACAAAAATAAATGAAATCCCACACTACTGCATCATCGTTGAATATAAAGCTAAAATTTTGCATTGCGGTCCATTGTTTCTTCACACACTCTAAATCCCGACTACAAATTTGAGTCTTACTATGCCCACAAATAGAAAATTGTAGGCCTACATTTTTCACATCCTTATTGATATTTAGATCATTTACAAAGTAAGTTGCTTTGACCCTGCCAGGTAGCTCCAACCATGGCTGTGTGGAGCACATTGTTTTCTGAAAATTCTGAAGAAAGACATATACAGCTTGGAAAAACATTTTCCTCACAGTGGAACTGATTTTATAACTTTTGTCTGCAAAATGAAGCCCATAAATGTTTGTTGGTATAAGTGAGAGTTAAAAACAGTGAGAGAAAATCGGAGAAACACTGTGCCTTAGCAAAAAAAAACAACAACTCTACAACCTGACACTATTATGGTAGTGGAGAAGCAACAGTGACCATTTCTCAAAGTCATACAGTCAAGGCATTCAGACTAAGGCTCACCCAAAATAATTTACCCTTTGAATGTAGCGAGGAACAAATCTACAACCGCACCTCATACTGCTATACAAATTAATTATGTGAAGCAAGTATCACCATGACTGAAATGTCGTACTTTCCATACTTGACAACATATGTTACTAGTCAGAGAGTTCTATGGTGCCTTTTGGGGTGGTTATTTCTTTTATTCATAGAACAAACTTTTCTCAGTTCCTTTCTTATAGAAAATGAAACCTCGAGCATACAATGCGGTTCAGATTGGCATAACTGGAATCACATCTAAGAAATACACACAAGACAGGGTAGGAACAAAAGTAACCAGCATTGCTTATCTGCACCATGCATAGACTATGAACTTCCTTAGAAACCAACTGGCAGTCCGCATGTGGACAGCACAGGAAGCACAATGATCAAGTCTTGAGATTTCCAAAATTCTTTTTGCAATGTCTAACTGTGGAACGTAATGACTATCGTCAAGCTAAGATCTAGCTTTTCTTACCAAGAACAAGAGATGAGCTAAAAATTTATCCAAATATCACTGAACAATTGAAGTGAAGAGACAGAATCAGACAGTATTCCTAGTTCCTTTTGAAACAAATTTTTTAGGAGACGGCCACTTTGCAACCCGAACCATCCACATGCGTTTCTCAGATACCCCTCTAAGCCTGAGGTGATGTTCCTCGGAGGTAAAGGGCATACAAAAATGAATGCTGCCTTTAGCTAAAGTGAAAACCGAGAGTGAGAGCATGGGCATCTGTGGTTAAAACTACACATGAAGACACACACGTACATGTGTGGACATGTAAAAACTAAACCAGTTACACTATCACTATCAGCAAAACACACCTCTCCACGAGAGCCTCAAATCATTCAGTTTTTGCTAAGCATGTTACTTGGACTGGGACCAATGTACATCTTGCATATTGCAGGGTTAGAAACCTCTTCCTATCACACATAACCCTTCCATCCAAATGACTAGTAATAACCTCAGTCTTACTTCACTTCCTTGAGTTGGCAATGAGCAGTATGAAAAAGATAATGAAAACTGTAATAATATACTAGATTAACCCAAAGAAACTTGGTATATATAATCACAAATTGAATCTAATTAGACCTCAAAGAACCATTTCCCAATATTTATTTTTACAGTTAAGCTGCAGAATAAACAATCAAAGAAATGTAAATGTCTTCAAATACAGAAAAAAAACTTTGGCAAACAAAACACTATACATACTGGTTGGTAAATATGTGATCATTGCAAAACAATTCATTACTTGAAAATCACACCTTGGGGCAACGGGACACTAGGGCAATTGAGTAGAAAATGTAGGCTGAATGGGATTTTTTAAAGCCTGTAAGACTAGAAAAAATGGAAATGTCGTTTTTGAATGCCAGATTGAAAATGAAATTAAACAATGAAATTTAAATACTGAAGACAAGATCTACTTCAGATTAACTGAGCCAACAAAATTGACACCAGAAAGTCAAAAAGAGATGTTGGTCTGTAAAGTGTGACTTAAGGCTGTAAAAAATTACTTCAGGCTGTGAAAGTCATGTCACACAAAGCTGACAAGAAGCCTTGTCACAATTGTATAGACAAAAAGCACACTGCTGAATCACACAAAACCGATTCACAGTGCAAAAATTGTAGTATCAACATTCCTTCTAACCAATCATGATCAGACACAAAAGTCAACTTTACAGGGTACGACAAAAACAACCCTCTGTCCATCATCACCAGAAAGAGAATTCAAAGGTTCCCTCTCATTGTGGAATTTCACCACACCCATCATTGCTCAGACGGTGTCAGCCCAGATCTAATAATCACATGACATGCGTATGGAAATGTAGAGCTGGTCGCCGATTCTCCAGACACAAAATCCAGGCCACAGAATCTTTTCTGAGAAGACCTAATTCCATGGCAAGCACTCTAGCACCTAGACCACTTGCCACTGCATCACTGCTGTGTCCTTCCCTCCTGTTGAAATGAGCCGGGAGTCGTCGAAAAGGAAGGTGACAGACGTCACGTGACTGCTGTGACCCTTGTAGGAGTGGCAGTTGCTCTGCGAATGGAAAAAGTCAAAGAAAACCATATTAGAAAATTGTCATCACCACGAAAATGAACAGATAAAATATTTTTGTACGCTCTACCCATGCAAAGAAGCGCAAACGGAAAAGCTGCCATCTCAAAATAAAGTAGTTGAAGTTGTAGATCAGTAGTAGCATACAACTAGTCAGAAAGATAACGGCCACATTTCACCAGGATGAAAATGAAGACAATTATAACACTGAACAGAAGGAGAAAGAGCACTCCTGCCAGCTCAAAAAAAGTATAGACACGAGGAAACCACATACAACTGTAACAATTATACAAGTCATACACCCTTATTGACACCATTTAGCTCATTTATAATGTGGGCTGCTGTTTTGATTCTGTCTGTCTGGACCATTCAAAATAGTGTGTCTGATACTGTACGGGAGTTGAACTCAATTCTTTAGAATTTAAGTCAAAGAGCACCATTAACTGTGAATGTCCTTTTTCAGTTCAGGATTTTTTTTTCAAGAATTATTAGTCTCATGTATGAGGCTAAACCCCAGAAACAACATTCACATCCTACCTGTTGGGGCTGACAATTTGCAAAAACTTTCTAGATGCTGTCATCAGTCAGTCTAACTTTAAAATAACGTTGGTATGAAAGTACCCTAAAACATATTCAATGTCAAGCCACCTGCATCCTGACTAACAGTAACCAGAGTCATGTCAGACCTACGTGTGGGCGTTTGGTGGGTGTTCTGGTCTGGTCTGCTCCTTTGTTCCTATTAAACATCTGTAATCCCTATCTCTCCTTTTTTTCTGTGTACGTCAGTTACCCTCAGAAAACAACTCTTTTCTTCAGTAGGCCTACATATGACCTGTTTGCATTTCAAGTGCTGTAAAACTCTTACTAAAACTTTACTAAAAGAACTTCCTTTCTCATTAGACAACTGACCTTGGGTTGACAGCAAGGGTAGCTGTATAAGTTGACCTTGCCAAAGTCGTCACAGGAAGCCACCAGTCGCTCATTGTGGGACTTGCAGCATCCATTAACGTCCGTGCCATCAGCACCATCTGGCCAGATACCTGAGAGAGACAATTAAGCAAAAACGTATTTAACATATTACATCCTAACTCCCCCGGGATCACCCGCGAATTTCCTTACGAGCTCCACCCTAACTCGGGCGGAATCACCTGCTCCGACCAGGCGTCTTTAGAAACGGAGACTCTAGGGCCGAGATTTCGTTTTACATAGTTATTGCGAAATGTTTCTTCATCCGTTTGATACTGAAACAAAATTTTTTGGGCAGGTAGTTTCAGTTTTAGAGTCGATCGGAGTGCAACCGCGTTTCCGACACTTCGAAAGTGTCTCAAAGCGACACAATTGTTTTGAAAAGGAAATAAAGATGGATTAGAGCAAGAACAAGCAAATGACAAATCAGACGACAAAAACATTGATAAAAACATTGAAGTAAGAGTTTGAAGTGATTCCGAACAAACAGATGTAGAATTTAGATCTACGGCCCGACCGCGAGGCTGAGAGTGAAAGTGACGGGTCGGACACCCGGACTGAGCTAAAGTTAGAACATTTCAAACAATTTGTGCAAATAAAGTTATATTTTTCTGAAACTATATTCATTTCTCTTTTTAATTGTTATTTTTTTGGAGATATTTGGAATTTGTTTAGCATTTTTAAAATGTGTTTTCTAAATGTTTCTATTCACGGGAGGTGGGTTCCTTCCCCTTGCTTAGGATTTGGGAAGAGACTTCCCGTCCAGACCCTTCGGCTGAAAATATACTGCCACGCACAACTGAAGTGCACCGCGAAAAAAGTCGTGCCCTCTTTATTTCATATAGGAGATTTCACTGACACGACTAGACGTGAGGAGTCATGAGGACCCAAAAAGACGTGCGTGAGTGCAGCACTTCTTCTTCGCGTGCAGACAGGCTCACCCTGCTATCGCAGTGTTCCGCGATGCTGTGGAGATAAAACAAAGGCTAAACAAAAGGAGGGCCGGCCACTGTGCAGCATACGCCTGCTCAGCGCCATTTTTTTACCCAGTTGGACGGAGTCGCGCTGACTTATGTGATCACCACATCCGACCAAGCTGATCGTCCGTTTCGCAGCGCACTTCACTTGTGCGTGGCAGTATATTTTCAGCCTTAGGGCGTAATGTATGTGTTAAGGAGAAGCAATGATGGTGATGATGACATCAGTGCAATAAGGGCTATTTAGTAGTGGGAAAGAACAAGACAGATTGACATAAACAATTAATCTAACATCAAAAAGAATTCACACATCATCCCCTACATTACAGTCCAAAATGGCACACATGTAACTAACAGTGTGCTGAAGGGCACACAGCAAACTCTGTCACTTCCGTACTCACCAGCAGTGTTGAAGCCCAGCACACAGCTCTGTGTGGCCCATTTGAGCTCCCGGATGACAGCCGGGTTGGTCAGCTGTTTACAGCTACTAGCAGTCCCTGGAAGAAGGTAAATTCAGCTACATGAATAAATCTTGCTACCAAAAAAAAAAAAAATTTAATTAAAAAAATAAAAAAATTCTCCCCACATCTGAGAAGAACAATCATAGGTAAATGTATGGGTTTTAAACTCCTATCAACACTATCAGGTTACTCAAGAGGTAGGGCCCTTTGAATTTCACACCACTCTCTGATAGGATCAAGCCAAATGGGTTTAGAGTTTTGGAAACTCCTCAAAAACAAACTGAGTACAAGAAAACCCTGACTACGATTCAAACCAAGGTCATCCACCTTTTAGCCCAGCATGATAGCAACAGAGCTTACAGAGCGATGAGATTACTGTCCAACAGCAGACAACACTTTAAACCCTTTCTCCATTTCCCCTCTCATTTTCTCTAGTTCCCTTTCACTCTCCTCATCATTCATCCACCTTTCTTACTCCTTCAGTCCTGGTCCATCTCTCTCTATCTTCCTCTCTTCACCATCCTTCCCGTTTTCTAACTCTCTCCATCCCTATCAGTCTCTTTCTCTCACACAAATACACACCAATACCTACATACAAGAATCATCTTCATTTGAACAAAATACACTTTAACACTTTCAGTACCGTCAGCGACTTTAGTCGCCTGTAGTATGCGCTAACTGCCACTGACGATTTCTGACCAGGCACACTAAACATAACTAAATAACGAACAGAGTCACTGCACTGAAGTAAATACCAAAGGAAGTCACTCTGTAAGATAGCTGAATGATTGATAAGTCTCTGTGAATTCTTAAAGCATGTTTCTTGGGCTGCGAAGGTTTCTTTTAAAATATAAAATAAAATCTACCATGGCATCAACATTCTAAAACTGGTGTGGTACTTGAGGGTTTTTCACTGTATGAGCCTTCAGTAATGTAAGTGTTAAGAAGAACAATTAGTGACTACAGAGATGGAGAATGTCATACAAAAGTGATAAAAAGGACATGGCAAAAACAGAAAACTGTTCCTTCCACTTACAGTAGAGCAGCTCGTAGTCACCAGAGTTACTGGCCAGATACTGGCTGTCCTCAGACCAGTCCACATGTGTGATGAAGCTGGAGTGACCCTTATGAAATAAAAATAGAGTTTTTGGTTTCAACAAGAGTTTTACAGCACTTGTAACACAAATAAGTTGTATAAGTGATGAAGAATAGAGGTGTTACTAACAGAAATTAACATATGTAGAAGAGAACGGGCATTTCGTTTAAGAAGGTGTTAGCCTCTCAGTTTAGTTTTAGTAAGAGTTTTACTGCCCTTGCAATACTAAAGGTGTTGCTACTTGAAACATTCAAAAAAAAAGTTGGAGAGAGAGGGGCAATTGATGTTTGATAGGAAAGAATGAGCAAACTGCATCAGAGCATCTGCCAACCGCCCACATTTTGAGCCTCTGAAAGTACTCACTGAGCAGCGTCCGACCTTGGTATACTTCTTGGCATCATCAGACACCTGGTAGATATAGATGTAGTTGTCTCTCGAACCAACAGCCAGCATGGAACCATCTGCAGAAAAACCCCCACAGATTCACATATAAATTCCAAAGTAAACAACAACATTACAGGAAATGTACAAACTGTCCAAGACAACCACTCACTGTCAAGGAGAACAATTGTAATCTTAGAGAGGTGTACCACTTGGATAGTGTCATTACAACATTGAAAAAAAAAACCCAAAAATTTTTTACAAGCATTTGTCTTGGACAAGTGGTTGTAAGAGTAGGTTTAACTGTACTTCAAAAGTTTGCCAAATGCAATGTTGTGGTCTTAGATTTAAATATTTCAAAACACTGCAAGAAATAATTAAACTTATAACTGGTCAGAACTTCAGTCTTTTCTTTGCTCAAATGAGCATTAGCTCTCTAAGAATCAGACCATTTGAATTTGATGGTAAAGCCGGCCAATAAGTATAGCCCCCATACATCCCATTCCTCTTACCCAAATTCTTCCCATTCTTCTGCCATTGACAAAACATTCTGTCCATTTACAGCTGTGGTAACTCAGTCACCAAACCATGCTCTTCTTACTGGACTCCTTATCATACCGCAGCACCTTGCCCCTATCAATTATAACTCATGATAAGAGGCCAAGAATTAACCCCCCCCCCCCTAGTAAACTCCAGTCGCATCATGATGAATGTTAGACAAACTTCAAGAGGACAGAACTGTTTACCGTGCCCTAATAGGAAAAATCACATAGAAAAAATTAAACGTGTTTGGTTTCTTCATTTCATAGATTAAAAAGTAATTTTCAGAGTTCAATTTTTCTTCTGAATAAACAACCATTACAAGATGTATGTATAGTATAAGGTTTTACGGCGCTCGCAACTGCTAAGACCATTGCAAGAGTTCTATATATTTAGTATTATCGAACCATGAGAAAACATTTATTCCTCTGTGATTTATTTAAATTTTAGCTTTAGTAAGAGTTTTACTGCACTTGTAACATAAATGAAAAGGTCATATAACTAAGTGCCAAAGATAAGAGGTGTTACTTTAGATAGTAACATACAAAGAAAAGAAAGAGGAGAGTTGAGGATAGTAGACGTTTGATGATAGAGAAGGAGTAAATCACACAAGAGCACCTGCCAACTACCCACAGTTTGGCTGTAATTTCTGGCAAGTTGGAACAATAATGGGAAGGAATGAGGACAGCACTGAACACAGAAAGAAAAAGTTGAATACACCAAAGTGCTGATCACTCACCCACAATCCAAGAGCTTTGTTCGAAATAAGTACAGAAACTGCAATCAGCTTCTTGTTTTAGTTTGGATTTTACCGCACTTGCAATAGAATTAGGTCATTTAAGTGCCGAAAAATAAGAGGTGTTACGAGACAGTAACAAGCACAAAAATAGAGTAGGAGTGATAAGGATGGAAGATGATTGATAGGAAAGAAGGAACGAATCACACCAGAGCACCTGCCAACCACCCACTGAGTACCCACCTGGTGAGTACTGGATACACTCAATTTGCTCATTGCCATCGGTGTGTACCGAGACAATCTCATGGGTAGAGAGGTCAAGGACGAGCCAGCGCGCCACACTCGTGCCCACCGCGACAATCCCACCGCGTGGGTGGAAGCAACAGCTGTGAACAGCATCCTGAAATGCAGGCATAATAGTGCAATGTCAAGAACCACTTTACAATCAAAAAGGGATTATTAGTAGAGAGGTCAAAATTTTGATTTTGCGCTTACTCTTGCTCCTTCTGAATTTCTCTGTCCTTTCAACTTGCACACACACACACCAAATACACACAAGTAAAAACATCTACTCACACATACAGAAAGCATAATATATATATATACAATATTAGAACATGGGTGGCACAACAGAAGAGGTCCCACCCTCTCAATCTTGACACTCTTTAGAGCTCTGTCTCTACCACAAATTCCCATGAATAAGTTTCTCATCAGACAGCCACACTCAATTGTTGACATCACACTAAAAAATGTCGTCCAGCAAACTGCACATGAGCATTATATAGTGTTTGCACTATGAACCTTAACATTTTTTAGAATAATAGGGTGATACGGTAATGGCACTATCATTATCTTATCGACTTGAAATAAGAAATGGTTTATTTCTACCACCCCAACCACACAAACTTTTTGTAAATAGGTTAAATTCTAGAAATCACACCAAGATCATGTGGGTAGTGTGACAAACTCCTTACATTCATTTCCTTGTTCCAGACGACAGTGCGAGACTGAGAGTCCCACAGGTAGAGCTGTTTGTCAGAACCACAGGTGAGGAACTGGTGCTGTGTTGGGTGGCTGGCCAGACCCCACATCTCGTCTGTGTGACTCTGAGGAGGAAAATAACTTTGAGGTTGAAAGAGGAAAACAAATCAATGTAGAGATCGATAAATGAAGGGGGAAAAGAAGATAACAGAAAAAAAAGAGAAAACAAGAAAAGAGAAGAAACGACAAAGGAAGGAAAGAAGAGAAGAGCAAGGCAATATAAAACAACAGAGAAAAGACAGCGAGAAAATACAGAGCAAAAAGAGACAAGATAGCAGAAGAAATAGGAAAACAACATAAACAAGATAAGATAACGCAGGTCAAGGTATAAAAAAAAAGACACAACAAGATAAACTTTTCTCCTAAAGACATTTATCAACACTGTTGTAGTAGTCAACAATAGGTACAAAATAACACACCAAAGTACTGATATGCAAACGTAAGTAACGAAAAGATAGTACTGTACTATCAAACAGATGAGACCAAGTAAAGAGATGGTTCATTCCTGAAATAAAATGTCAGAGGAAATCAAAGTGTAATAACATAGAAATATTAACTAGCATTACTGACTTTGTTGCTTTGTTCCCCTAATAGAATTCGTTACAGTGCAATCATTGCTCATGTTCTTTATATGCAAGATACAACAAAAATCATCATGACCATAATGATACAAATGTCACCACTGGCGCTAATGACGAGGTGGGTTTTTTTTACCCCTTAATGAGCAGCAAATTTAATTATTTTGTTGATCACAATCTTTGGGCCAAGTAAGAAACCAATATACCTGTACAATGACAGACAACTCGAGATCCAGTGAGCCACTGAGGATACAGTTGCGTGTGGTGCCAACTAGGACCAAGCCACCCTTACCCTGGCTCAGAGTCCTCACAGGACCATAGGATTCAGGGACCTGAAACATTTAAAAAAAAGAAAATAAATTAATCAGGAAAATAATTATAATAGTATCACTGCTGTATAATGTCAGAGAAAAGAACAGATAAACAAACATAAATTAATCAGGAAAATAATTATAATAGTATCACTGCTGTATAATGGCAGAGAAAAGAACAGATAAACAAACATATCTGAAGCACAACAAGAAAAAATGTAAGTTGTTAAGCTGTTGTAATGACCAAGTCTCTCATTTTATGTCCAAACTTCTCGTCTCACTTACTACCTCATCACCCTCTAAAGAGCAGGTTGTTCTGTTCCAACTCAGAACAGGGAATAACCAACAGATACACCAACTCTCAACAAAGTTGAGGATTGGCAAGAAAGAACAGTAAGCCTGTCAATGCGGAACCAACAGCCAACCAGGAAATCATTTCCTTAAGGCCTGCCCAGTGCTCTTAGGAACATGGAAGAAAATATTGGCCCTCCCCCTCAGCAGGGAGACCCTAAACTCTACAGGAGCCTGGAAGACCTGCTGTAAACACAGCTTTCACACTAAAGACTGGGATATCCATTTAAAGATGACCGAGAAGAAGATTATCTCCATATTTATTACTTAATGTTTCATGGAGGACGGAGGTTTGAACATGAAAACTACGTTTCAGGACAAATCTTGAGGGCCACATGATTTCTTAGCTCGTATGTTGCAACCAAAATTTTTAAAAAAAAGGTTTCAACAAACAATTTAATTAAAATGTAAGTTTGCAGCTGACTCATTTAAAATTTCATCAGATATATCAAAATATGACCGATGTGTTTAGAGAAAATAGAAGAAGTCTAACAAAATGTCTCCTGCTACCGATTCTTTCTTTTTAACTTGGAAATTTGTCAAGCATTTATCTTTTATGATAAACTGGAAAGCCTTCATACAAGAAATGCTATCCAGGGACAGTTTGATTTTGTTGTAAAATCTGGGGCACACGCCTCAGATAAACTTACTTTTCCCATCCTAAATATATAGGCCTACTGAACTGACATAACATTGATACTGAGAACATGAGTCAGGGATCAAATATTTCTTTAAAGTACTGTATAGTACTGTATGGGTATAAACACTCCATATAATTTAGTGAGGTCAGTTAAGACAAGGAACCTCCAGTTAAATATCCTCCGATTCAGTCTCATGTAGGATTGGGCCAAGTATTCTGAAGGCTATTAAAACTTTTTAAACAACCAACGTTCAAGAACCTGCTTTAGGAATTTGAACTTCTATCATCTGCATTGAAATCCAGCATGATACAGAGTAAGACATAGATGCACCCTGAATAAATGCAGACCTCTTCAAATATATTAACTTTTCTTCATGACAATTAACAGTTATACAAAACAATATGGAGATGAAAATGCTTATTGACAAATGAGTGGGTACCTCTGTCTCTGATCCAGTCTTCGCGAACGTATTGTCCCACTGGATGATCTTTCGATCTTTACCCCCACCAGACAGAAGAGTGCCATCTTTGGTGACACAAAGGGAGAAAACTCCACCGTCGTGAGCATTTAGCATGGCCTGAGTTATCCGGTTGCTTCCTGCACAAACAAACGTAAAAAAGTCACACTTCAGAACAAATAAAAAGAAGAACAACAAGAACCATGACAAATAGTTCTCACATAAAAATTCACTAATTTATTAAAACAGAAAATACGGAGCAGATTTTTATTTCTCCAGTTCTATTTTCAAACCCACGTTCTCTAAATTTTAATTTTATACAACATGCCTTTGCAGCAATCAGACAGAAGCAAACAGACACCAAAAAGATTATACATCTACTTCCAAAAAACAAATAACGACAGAAATAAATAAATCAAAATAAATAAATAAATACCACCTTTAGTAGAGGTTTTACGGCGCTCGCAACTGCATAAGGTCATATGAGCGTTAGAAGATTAGAGCTGTTACAAGAGAGTAACAAACTTATAAAAGATGAAGGGGAGATAAGGACGATAGATGTTTGATAGGAAAGAAGAAGCAGCTGCACCACGGTTGATTTACTAGATAGTAGTAGTTTTCAGCTATCAGAACAGGAACCGGAGGATCAAAAGTAAAAACAAAACAAGTAGAAACGGCAGATCAGACCAGAGCACCCATTGACCACCTTCATTGAAAAGAGGTAGGCAGAGTTGCAGACCTCACCAGAACCCCACCAACCACCCACTCAGAAAAGAAGTAGAAAGAGCGAGGCCCATCAGAGCACCAGCCAATTAAAACGCACCCTCAGAACTACTACTGACCTTTGCCCCAGACAAAGATGCTGCCGTTGGAATCCCCGGAGAGGACGTCTCCGCTGTCTGAGAAGGCCAGACTGAGCACATACTTGGGCTTGTCGTATTTCTGTGGACCATGTGAAGAATAAATAAGGGTTATTTGAGATACATAAAACAACATTGTTAAGTGAATTTTCATTCTGTGCTGTGGAATAAGTAAGATAAACAGAAATGACATATGGAGAGAAGAGAAGCGGGATCTACCCGAGGTGCCCTCAAGCCACTGGCGTTGAGTATGAGTAAGCAAATGTTGATACATAATTATGCGGGCAAGAGCTTTACTGAAACTAGAAATTACTTGGTTCAAAATCGATGCTGCCAATAGGTTTGGTATAGTTTTGACCCTATTTCAACACATCTAAGACTAAGAGGAAGAACAACTGGTTGGCGTCCAGATTCAATAAAGATTGATGCATAGCAATCGAATACAGTCACAATTTGACAAACCCACACATGTTTTAGTAGAGCGCCTATATACAAATTTTATTTTCATTTCCCGAAAACAGCATTGCAGCAGCTTAATTTCATCAAAATATAGTTTGGTTCTAAAAAATGTTCTTCCAATAATGGAAAAAATTCAACTGTTAACTACTACTTTTCAAACTATGCACCTACAAGATAAAAAGAACTGCTTAGCAAAACGCCAATGACTAAAGAAGACTCACCTGAACTATCAAAAATCATTGAATATAGTTTTAAACAATCATAAACACCCAGTTTTAATGTCAAAAGCAATGAATAAACCACTTATCTTAAACCAAAAAAGAGGGGAAGAAAATCCCTATGGAGAAAGACTTACATCGAAAATGCCATGTTTCTTGACAAGAGCACCACCCTCTAGAGTCCAGAAGGTTATCTGCCCCTTGCCACAGCTGACAATGCTGCCTTTCTCCGACGGGTGGAATTCCACAGCCAGAACTGGCTCCGTGGAGCTCTGGAAATGGATAAGATATTTCATAGAAAATTCATTGACGTTAATATACATTTTTAAAAAAATAATAATAATAAATAAATAACATTTTTATTGATTTCGTTTAAAATGGCTAAATTGCATACATACAGAGATACTTAATCATTACTACATACGTACATAATTACTAACACACATCGTCATCTCAGAATTATTTTGTCCAAAGTGTACTTAAGCAAAGAGCCACTTTGGACAAAATTATAGTTCTGAGGGGACAATATACATACATAAATACACAATTTCGCCAATACAGAACAATTTGACAAACCATGCCATTGCTGGTTGCCACTTTGCAGAGCCCTGGTTTTTTTTAGCTAGGGTTGTTGTATCTTGCTCAAGGACACACCCTAATGACCACCCACCTGATCCTCATGTCACTGACTCTTACTTGAGACTTTAATAATCTATATATAAAAAAGTGGACTTGGGAGGCTTTGTGCATAAACTCCTCCCTTATTACTTAACCCACACCTTTGAAACTTTGCAGGCATCAACAGCATCATGTGGCTAGGACCTAACTTTAAAAAATCCACCCAAACTGCTTTCCCGATTTTTCCAAAATGCTTTGTTTCGTCCACACAGAATTCTAGCATTTCAATGCAGTTGAATGTGACGATTATGTTTGTTCATCAAACGGGGTACCCAGCTAGTAATATAATAAGATTGCTGTAGTTACTGTTGCTGGTAGAGCTGATCAGGTGCTTACTACGTATCAGCATCAAAATATCCACTATAGTATGCTGAGAATAGATAAACCCTATGAGCTCACATAATATCCATACTCTTTTTTGAGTATTTAATCTCACAATTTCATCAGTAGACCATAAGATCAGATTAATTTCAAATCTCTAAAGCGCAAGACAGTCAGTTCTTGTACTGAGCATACTTTTTCATTGCATCAAGATTTTTACGGAAAATGTTCAGTTTTAATTCCAATCATTCCAAGAGTAACTTTATCCATCAACCAAACAATCCTCTGCCTGTAAATTTTGTATGTGAGAATGTATGCCCGTCAGGGAGTTCTGTGTGTGTGTGTGTGTATGTGTGTTTCTGTGTGAGTGTTTTTTTCTTGTGTGTGTGAGTATATGTGTGTGTGTGTGTGTATGAGTGTGTGTTTCTGTATGTGTATGTGTGTGTGTATGTGTGTGTGTGTGTTTGTGTACATGTGTGTGTGTGTGTGTGTGTTTTTGTGAGTGTGTCTGTGAGTGTGTTTGTGTGTGCGCGGTTCTTTTTCTTGTGTATATGTGTATATGTGTGTATGTGTGTACGTGTGTGTGTGTTGTTGCTGTTGTTGTTAAATCGTTTCACATTTGTGTATTTTCTGTCCTTTCACGAATTAAGTTGAAAGTTAATTCTGCATTGTGCAGCACTTAGATCCTTCTATAGGAATTAAGCTTTACACAAATCCCCATTATCATGATCATTATTATGACTGTCATGCCCAAAGTATCGAGCTTTGCTGGTAACTTTTTCCTGACCTTGGTCTCGGTGAGCTTGTGTGGCTTGTCCCGTCCCAGGTCCCACACAGAGATGATGTGTTCATTGGCCTCGTCCACCACCACCAGCTGCTGGCCGCCGTCCTGGGGAGCGGAGGGGAGGGGAAAGTGAGAGTTTTGTTTTAGGTTTAAAAGGGAGAGTTTTGTTTTATGTTTAAAAGTGAGAGTTTTGTTTTATATTGAAAAGCGAGAGTTTTAAAGCACTTGCAACACGGTTAGGTCCTATAAATGCTGAAGATTTATTTTTAAAAATTTTTTGTAAGAGTTTTACGGCACTTGCAACACAATAAGGTCATATAGGTGCCGAATATGAGGTATTCCAAGAGAGTAACAAACACAAAAAAGAAGAAGGGGAGATAAAGACGGTAGATGTTTGATAGGAAAGAAGAAGCAAACCACGCCCTAGCTCCCGCCAGCCACCCACGCTGAAGATTAGAGATATTACAAGAGAGTAACAAACACATGAAGGAAGGAGGAGAGGGTTTGAGTTTGAGAAAAGAGAAGCACATCCCACACAATTAGTCATATAATGCTGGGAAGAAGAAAGACAGAGAGACAGAAACAACAGAGGGAGAGAAAAGAAGTAGAGCCCCTTCCAACTACCCGTGGAGGGGAGGTGAGAGTGGCTAGTTTACTTCCCAGTTTGTTTTTTTCGTTTTAGTAGAGGTTTTTCGGCACTCACAATTGCATAAGGTCATATGAGCGCCAGAAGATACAGGTGTTACAAGAGAGTAACAAACATAAAAAAGAAGAAGGGGTGATAAGGACGATAGATGTTTGATAGGAAAGAAGAAGCAAACCACACCAAAGCACCGCCAACCACCCACCAATTTGTTTGGAGTAAAGAAAAGCACATCAGCACAATATAGGACAGACAGACAGAAAGCGAGAGAAAATCCACTTCTAATATAGTTTTAGCTACGGATAATAAATATTTGACAGGAAAGAAGGAGCGAACCATACCAGAGCACCCACCAACCAACCATGAGGTGAGAATGTCTAGTTTACTTCCCAGTCTGTTCGGAGTAAAGAGAAGCACCTCGACACGATAACGGTTTTTCCAACCACTTGTGCTCACTTCCACAGTTCAGTGCAATAAAAATGTAAACATAATATGATAAAAGTAGAATAAAAGGAAGACGACCAGAGCTCTGAAAGTCACAAAAACTGTCCTGGTGAATTGAGTTGAGATGTAGTTCACAGCAAAGGAACAGGGTAAAGGCAGCATTTCGCGCAAAACAAAACGCCATCCCTGTAATGCAATAGCCAATACTGCAGTCTTGCAGTCAAATTTTGATATTGTCGGATTAACAAAACAGTAAAACAAACAATCTGGAGTAATGAGAAAAACAGTTAAGTCTGGATCCCATATAATAATAATAATAAATAGCATTTGTATAGCGCATATCCCTGCTCAACAGCAGGCTCTATGCGCTTTACACTATATTATTACCCTAGCAGACCATAGAACACTACGAAACATTCTCAGCTTCCCAGGAAGCATACAGTGCAAGCAGCTGATTAAGCGCTCGAACACTAACAAACTGACAAGATCTTTCGCTGTCTATAGCCGGGTACCCACTCCCACCTGGGTGAAGTGAAGAGCCTAACCACTAGCCCAACAGAAGACCAGTTTGACAATGTCAGAGTAAACACAGATGAATGCATCTAAAAAGGAGTGTGAATTGATCGGCACTCTATCATTACATGACTTGGGTAATTGTACACAAACATCCAGTGGTATGGGGCTCTCGTGGTGTTCACCTCTCATTCAAAGGTCCCCGGTTCGAATCCGGGTAGCGCCGAAAAAAATGTTCTTCTCTAAAATTGTCTCCTTTCACCTTCGGCCTGCACTTGCAACATAATAAGGTCATATAAGTGCCGAAGATTACAGGCGTTACCAGATAGTAATAAACACAAAAAAGAAGGAAAAGAGATTAGGACGATAGATGTTTGGTAGGAAAGAAGGAGTTAACCACACTAGAGCACCCGCTAACCACCCGCAGATACTAATTTTAATAAAAAGGCACTCACCAGCTTGGAGAAGGAGAGACAACACACAGCACGGCTGAAACATCCAATGCCGATGACATGCAGGGTGTTGAGAGACACTGAGTCCCAAACACGCACGTGTGGCTGTGAATGGAAGAGGAAGCAATTGATACACACAGTTGTCAAGCAATCATCAACATCAAACATAAAGTGTAAATATGTGTTTTTTGGACTCTTTCTACTCATTTTGTATATATATATGCCGATGATGAAATGGTAAACATCCTCATTTTTGCAAGTAACAACAATGACAGTTTCAATTCTTTGTTCTTTATAAAATTTGTTTTAGTAAGAGTTTTTACAGCACTTGCAACACAATTAGGTCACATAAGTGCTGAAGATGAAAGGTGTTACAAGAGAGTAACAAACACCAAAAAAAAGGAGCAAACCACACCAGAGTACCCACCAACCATCCGCTTGTGAAATGAAAGTCATGGAAGATTTTTTTATAAAAAGAACATTTAAAAAAAAGAAATACATTGAAGAAACGGCAGCAACATTAGCTGTACATGTTGCTGATGTGTACAGCATTACTGAAATCAAGTCGAAACTTTTTTCCAAATGAATTATACCCAAGTATAAGTTATCACTATAAAAAAAAGTCTTCACTTTTCAATGTATTCCTCCAGCCTCAACAACAAACTATATCTCTTTGTTTCACTGTCCAATATTCTGGCACCTGTGGTGCAATGGTAAGGCTCATTCACCACACACTAGTAAATTATGAGTTTCACCAAAGGGAGAACTTATTTCGTGAAGCATCTGTCTTTTTTTGGGGGCCACAGTTTAAGTTGGCCCTGTCAGGCAATCAGTACAGCCCACCTCCTTAATAATCTAACCAGGGTTTCAATTCCCATTACTCAGGGGGGCTACTGGAGGTAAAGTCTGGGTGAGCCTGGGCCGTATCAAGTATTCCAGAAAAAAAAAATTCTAGTAGTTATTATTTCAAAGAACACCGACATGATCTTTTCAATATTTATTTATAGCAGTCAAGAATATGAACAGTCCTTCATAACATAGGCTTCTCGGTAGCAAAAATGCTAGTGAGAAAAATAATTGGGCTGCACTAACACTAAATTTTAATGTCAAGCAGGGGCCGTAAAATCTTATTAGTACTACTGATAGGGGTATGAAACATTTTTTTTTTTCTTAGTAAGATTATTACATTGCAACACGATGAGGTTATATAAATGCCGAAGATTAGAGGTGTTACAAGAGATTAACAAACATAAAAAAGAAGGAGGAGGAGATAAGGACAATAGATGTTGATAGGAAAGAAGGAGCAAACCACACCAGAGCACCCGCCAACAACCCACACGAAACATTTATAATCACAAGCTCTCACTCCTGCTCCCACTCCCCCCTGACTATTTTTACAATGATGCTACTTCTCTTTTCCTGGTTTGTTTTATTTGTTTTAGTAAGAGTTTTACAGCACTTGCAACACAATTAGGTAATAATAATAATAATAAATAGCATTTGTATAGCGCATATCCCCGCTCAACAGCAGGCTCTATGCGCTTTACACTATATTATTACCCCAGCAGACCACAGAACACTCCGAAACATTCTCAGCTTCCCGGGAAGCATACAGTGCAAGCAGCTGATTAAGCGCTCAAACACTAACAAACTGACATGATCTTTCGCTGTCTATAGCTGGGTACCCATTCCCACCTGGGTGAAGTGAGGAAAATTCGTGTAAAGTGCCTTTCCCAAGGACACAACGTCGGGCCCCTGACGGGATTCGAACCCACGACCTTACGGTTGCGAGTCCGAGAGACTGATCACTAGGCCACTGACGGTCATATAAGTGCCGGAAGTTAGAAGTGTTACAAGAGAGTAACAAACACAAAAAAGAAGGAGGAAAGATAAGGGTGACATGTATTTAATAGGAAAAAAGGAGAAAACCACATCAGAGCACCCACAAACCGCCCTCTACTCACTTCCTGGTCAGTTTGTGGCTTCCAGCCTGGCCTCCTCTTGGGGTCCACCTTCACACAAACACACAACATGCCAGAGGAGAACATTACATAGGGGGGCACAACACCAAGAATGCATGATGAACTGGTGGATGCAGCGGAAAATGTGACATGCATGCAACGGGAAGCAGCAAGGGTGAAAATGAACAATAACCAAAAAATACAGTGATCAATTACGTATCTGCATGAGCACTATTTCATTCCATCATTACTTGTCGACTTATTACTTACCTAATGAGAGAAGTTCTGGAAGCTCCTTAAGTATGGTATTGAGATTTTCTTTAGAAATTGACTTTCAAAATCCATTCCAGATTCTTTTCGAGAATTTTTTAGGACACGGAAAAAAAGCAGTGCTCATGCAAAAAGTAGTGCACACAAAAAAAAACCCTCATGAAAAGACGATACTCCCTTCCTATTGACACATTTCTCATCAGAAAATACAAAATGGATTGTCATTCCCAAAGGAGTCAATATTAATTTAGGTTCCATACCATGCTGAAGATAACAGGAGACCCAAAACCCCACAGCTTCAAACTTGCTTTAGGAAATCAAGAGTGAGACAACAGACATTCCAAACCAGTTCCCAAACATGAAGGGTTTTCTTGTCACTACAGGTTTCTTCTTGCAACATGTTAAATTGTCAAAACATTAAAGAACAAACCAAAATTGGTGTGAAGCGGAGCAAGGGACGTAAAGCTCATATTTGAATGCACGACGCATTGTCATGTCACTCATATCATTTGAAGAAAGCAGAACACAAAAAAAGACCACATTATATCAGTTTAAAAATCAAATCCCACCAACACTGATGTACTGTTCTGGTGCTCTAAATGAGACCATCCACAAAAGAAGGGGCATAAAATTTGACAAACTATACCTTTTTGTAAAATTGAATTTGATTTGGGGGGGATACAACAAACTCGATTAATTCATTTACAAGTGGATCATTTAAATTTTGTTTTGCCAAATGGCACGTTTTTTGCTTGCTTTCCCTTCACTGAAGTTATCAGCCTATTTTGTCCTGCTCCGCAACTTGATGAAACAAGCAGAAAACTTGCAAAAGAAATTAAACATTACAAATTACACATTCATCTTGCACTGAACCAACTCATGAAACAAGGCAACTGAAAACTTCCAGATACTGGCGATAAAAAAAAGGTACAATACCACTTTCTGATTGTGCATAAAATCTAGTCTTTTTGAGTCTTTACGCTTTTTCTTACCAAGTACTCTAAAAAGAAGGTCACGTTATAAACGTACCATTTTGGCACCTGCTTCAATTGGTGTTCACAGCATCAACGTTAAAAAGTAGAAAATGGGCATTTTTTCCCTGACCACATGTAGAATTTTTTTCCATTCATTTATTGCCAGTATATAGTGCATGTCCATGCATTTCACAAGAAATAAAGTACAGTTTCAATAACAACAACAGAAGGTACACAAAAACAACAATTATAAAGAAAAGCAGCTCCCCCTTCTGTCCTCTCTGATTTCAGAGCTTGTTTGATTGCTCTTCTTACCATGACAGATAGCACATTCAACAAAATTGTCGGTGAAGATCCCAAGCCACTTTCATCAATGAGATAATATTAAATATGAGGGCCCAAAAACTATATATTTTGCATCTGTTTTGTAACCAGCCAACATTATGCACAACTCCGCAGGAATTCATAACAGAATAATGTTACTGGCATGTGCAAACCAGTACATTAAAAGTTGTGGAAACAGGGTTTAAAAAAATAGACTACAACCCATAAAAAGTATGATCTGGAAATTCAAGTCTTACTTGGAAGAGGATTTTCACCGACAATATGCAAAATGAATAAGCATTTGGGTGTATAAAAGGAAAGAAGGGTCATTCCATAACTTTGCCTTGACACAAGACAAAAAAATGGCGGGAATCAGTTCATGCTATGTGAGAATTTTTAAAAAATGGAGCATTTTAAAAAAGCAAGGTTATATTCAACAGCAATTGAACACAAAAGTAAAAGAAAAAATCAAACAAATTCTGAGGGATAGTCAAGATGCAGGTAGGTATAGATCAAAGACACAACTGACACTTTCAATGTACAACATGCAGACAAGATGACACTTACAGACGATAAAACACCAGACTGACAACAATACAAGTCGACTGACAACATAATAGTCACATCTGACGTCACAGGACTTACCTTTCCTTCCTTCGCATCATGACCTGCCACCTGACCTGTAGCAATCTTGATTTTGTCCGGATGAATTGCAATGCTGAGGAGAAGGTAATTTGAAGATAACAAAGTTCGTCTCTAACAACTTTATGTCATCCTTGTGTCCCTGGAACTGTCTCAGTAAGACAGAAATATGAGTGTATATACACACCGTCAAACACAATAATAAACTGATCATATTATATGTCTCTCTCTATCTCTCATCTCTCTCTCTCTCTCACACACACACAAACACACACTCATTCAGCCCCTTACACACTCATTCACTCCAACATATCACACACGCACACACAAACACACAAATCAAGACAACTTTTTCACACACACAAATACACACACTGAAAAAGCAACAACAAAAAACAAGCAAACTTACTAATGACCACTTTTGTCACTGGTCAGCCAGACAGCCTCTCAATATAGGTTTAACATCCCTATCAACACTATCAGGTTATTTAAGAGGCGGGAGCTCTGAATTTAACATCCGTCTCCGATAGGACCAAGCCAAATCGATAAAGAGCCTTAAACTAAAAACTCCGCAAAACGACCAGAGTTCAAGAACATGTGCATTTGTGTGTGTGTGTGTGTGTGTGTGTGTGTGTGTGTGTGTGTGTGTGTGTGTGTGTGAGTGTGTGTGTGTGTGTGTGTGTGTGTGTGTGTGTGTGTGTGTGGTGTGTGTGTGTGGGCGGGTGTTGGTGTGTGTTTGGGTGGGCGGGTGTTGGTGTGTGTGCGCGTACATGTCTGCATATGCACATGTGTGTGTGTGTTTTGGTAAATGGTCTCACAATGTGCTTTTCAGTCATGACTGGTTAGCTGAGTGATAATTTTGCATTGTATGACGCTTAGAGCCTTCTAGGGATTTGGCCCCTTATAAATTCGCATTATCATTGTTCATTGTTGTTATCAACAGACCAGCCACACAAACACATATAACACCTGCACTGATCACTTGTGTCATGTCACAGGTGTGTCAATGTATCCCAGGAAGAGATTCCCAAGTCTGCTCCTCAAAATTATAAAAGACACATATCAAGCACACACACACACACATAATCAACGGACACTCCAAACAAACACACACACCATGTCACTAAAGATAGATAAATATCAAGCACACGCACACACATGATCAATAGAAGACCCCCCACCCCCACAAAAACACACAACACATTCATTGACCACTTGATGTCACCAGTGTATCCCAGATAGTGCCTCTGTGTCTACTTCCAACTCCTTTCCAGCTCTCTAACAATCTGTTGTCTGCTTTAGTGTCTACTTTCTGCCCCCACCCCCTCACCTCCTTTGCCCCCTCCTCTGGGCTCCTGACTCTTTCTACAGCCTTTCTACTGCTACTCCTTGGCTCCTTCTTGCTGCTGTCTTTCAGCCACACCCCTGATCTTATGGTAGGTAAAATCTAACACCTTGCCTTCTTGGATATGGGTAAAAATCTCAGAGTTCCCACGTGCAAGTTGTGCACATTAAAGATCCCTTGGTGGCCCAAAATCGGTAGGAGCAGGCTTCGGCCGCCACCTGGGCAAAATTCAAAATTTCCAACCAATGTTTAAAGTGTCCTGCGCGCTCATATGACCTTACGCAGTTGCGAGCACCGTAAAACCTTTGCCAAAAACTCTGTATGTACTTTTCAGAACAATAAAAGATCCAACACACACCAAGCACACACATTCACACACACAAACACACACACACACAATCAACAGAAACTCCACACAATCACACACAACATGCCCACTGACCACTTGATGTCATCGGTGTGCCCCAGATAGTGCCTCTGTGTCTGCTCCTCAGGGTTATGCAGCACCACAACGGCCGCGGTGAAATAGACCACCTCTCCGGTGGGAAGGTAGTACAGGTTGCTGCGACAGTCTCGGCCACGGTACCCATAGCTGTCTTATGTCAAGGACTTATAATCTTTCTTTTTTTTTCCTCTTTCTATTTTTGATACATTTTTTTTTTGCGTAACATATTGTGTGGTATCTAGTTTCTAGTATAATTATAAGTCACTCATCCGTTAAAGAAGAAGGTTGTTGATCATTGAATGAAATGTTTATTTTACTATTACAGGCTTTTCTTCAACTTTCCTTGTGATTTCCCAGATCTATTGGGCATCTAATAGTGAACTGTATCATATGAGGGGTATCACCTCCTTCTACTAGCATGAAGTTGCAGTAGCAACCAAGCAATTATTTGATAGACCTCTTTGTAGTTTGACCTCAAGACTGCTTCAGGCCTCAAATCAAAGCCAATCATATGCAGTTCTGACATGACCAAAAAGAAAAAAAAATACTAACACACCCATTACAATTTCACAAATTTGGAAAGTAAAAAGAAAAATAGTTTTCATTCGTCCTGTGAAGCTTCATGGCCCAATTGTCATTATTAAGTGAGACAAGAGGCAGTTTAGTAGCAACAGTACAAACTAACTTACACCCCCCCAACCCCTGCACATCACAGAAGTTATGTTAGAGAAAAGGAAAGAATCATGTTTATATTGAGGGACCAGCCTCAAGGGTTTTTATCATCTGCCAGTTGCTCAAGTGGACTAGGCCCAAAATTAAGAAATCTTGTTTAATTGCAGTTTCTTAACTCTTTATCTCAGGCAAGTCACTCTCAGGGGCTCGCAGTTGGAACCCCTGTGCCAGTGAGCTGCTGGTAGCGGCTTGGGTGCAGTCCTTTACCAATTTGACAACAAATTGCTTTTCGGCAACTGCCGAAAACAAGTCTCTTTCAGAGGAATTTCATTCATTAGATGAAGAACTATCGAAATATGTTCATTTGTTTTAATTGAATGACTAAATTAGTGATGTATATGTCAATTTTAGATTTTGAACCAAAATAGGGCCTCGGCAGAGTGGGTTTATTTATTACCCCCTTAGAGATAAAGAGTCAATCTGTGGTTTCAAATAAATGTGCTCCAGAAATGCTTTGTCGATATTCAAATTCTAAATGTTAAAAACAAAGCCAGTATATATACATAATATCGGAACAATTTCTAAAAGAATGAAATTTCTTCATTTTCCTCAAAAAGTTTGCTTCCTTGGCTTAGAGCAGTGGAACAACTTGATGATATACTATATACTGTTTAGCCTATTTTGATACCCATTACTAAATTTCACCTAAAAAAAAACCCATGTGTAGAGAAGAGGACGTGGATGGGGATGAGGGGGGGGGGGGGGGGGGGG